TGCTGAAAATTACATTTCATAAAGAGCTTTAAAATTTTTCGAAAAATGAAATAAAATCAATTTAAAAAACCTTTTTTTATAGTTTGAATGTTTTTGAAAATTATGAACTTTTAATTATTAAATTTAATAAAATTGAATTTTATTTGAATGATAAAGTTTCCTATTGATAACGAGACGTGCTGATTGGCCAAAGCAGGTCCAAATGTTTCGAAAACACGGGCCGAAATGCCAAAAATGATAATTCAGTTTTTCAGAAAGGGAACGTCCAATATCATTATAAAAAATTTACATGTATAGATGAAAGGAAAAACGGCTTAAATTTGTGGGAGGCAATTCTAGCGGTTTCGGTGATCCAATAAAAAACATTCGAGATTTGAAAACACACTTGGATTATAATTATCAGATATTTTAATAATAAGTATAAATTTTGTTTACATTTCTATGGGTTCTGTAACATTGTTTATCCGTTATACTGCGACGCGACGCTTACGCGCTTCTGTATTTTGACTTTATGCAGCCAAAGCAGCGCGATCGCTTTAAAAAAACTTTGAAACTTTGAAAATATTTCAAAATACATATAAAAAACTCAAATTTTTCAAAAAAGTCAAATTTTTTCAAGGTTTTTAAAAAATTTTAATTTTAATTTTCGGTACGGGAAGTTCCAGCAATTTGCTTTAAGGCGCGATGCCAAGCACCACTATTTATAGTATATAATGCGTAATGAATTTTAAATGAATTTAAAATGAATTTTTATATAAAAACTATGTAAGTAAAAATTCAGGGATGGGGCGGCATTTTTGTCAGTGCCCCAGGGCGCCAAATTTCTAAATCCGGCCCTGGGTGCAAGGCATCGTGCCTTAAGGCAAATTGTCGTACCAAATATTAAAATTTTCAAAAAAAAACTTCAAACAATTTTGAAAACTTTAGAAAAAATAGATTGAGAATATTGAAAAAACTATGACAACTTAGAAAAAGTAGAATAATAAATAATTCAGAAGAGCAAGCATATTTCACTAATTTGAACAATATTAAATTAATGTAATCTAATGTTCTCATGGTAAAAACTACTTCTATTAGTATGTTCATTATTAGTTATTATGTAGTAGACCAAACTCTATCGCTATGCATATTATCATCTAAATCACAAAAATAATAAATAATAAATTACAAAGAAATGATCTGACTGATTTTTTAAGTTTTTGCCAAAATCTAATCAGCATGATTCTCAAATAATATCGTTCGAATAGTTTTTGTATCTCTAGTTGAAAACGTGGATGAAACCTTTTGCACTTTTCTCTAAGAATTTTGAAGTTTCGAAGTTTTACTTCGCAAAACTAACCAACTCGAGTGCTTATTGAAATCGATTCAGCTGTTTTTTATTTTGACTAACGACACAATAGAGTTCCTAAATGTTTTCAAACTTTGATAACCTTTTAAAAATAAATGTCTTGTCGTACGACATTTTTATTTCAGTATGTTCTTTAAGACCATGGTCTGTCTCTATGTTCAAAAAAAAGAAACGACAGTGCCGATTTTTACCAAGAAGCAATCAGCACGATTATCAAACAATATCTTTGGAACAGTTTTTAAATTTTGTCGGCTGTAAATGTGTACTACTATACTTATTGTAAAGTAATTACTAGGCGATTTTCAGGAAACTCCGATAAACGCCCAGTCCTTAAAACTAACAACGATCAAAATACTTTTATTAAAAAATTGACAATGTTTTTCTCGTTTATCTTGTGATAGTAATAACGCCTGATTTATGGCGACAGCTGGTTAAATCCCTTGTTCTTCGACGTGAAAATGGTATCGTTAAAAATACAGTAATTTAATTGGTGATGCACTTTTTCATTCGCAAATTTTTAAGCCAGGCTCTACCCTAGCATACACTAATTTATTTTATATCATACATTGTATCATGTATCTGCAGCAGCTGCTTGCTTTAATCCAATACATATCACTCAAGGCTTTCAAAGTATTGCAGACATACTGGTTCCTTAACAAATTATATCTCAGATAATTCGTTAAAACCAACTACTTGTAAAAAATATAAAATACCTGATATTTTAAATATAATTCTATTAACGATTAATCATTGCTAAGACTTCCAAGAACCAATCTTAATTTATGATCGTCTTAACATCGACTTGACAGAAACCTCAAATTAAGCTATTAGTATGTTAAATTGCTTTTATGCAATACGTTTATCACATGCTCATTATTATAATATGTAACGGTCTTGAAAAGATGATGTCATTGCCATTTTTTTTATAAACAACAATTTACTTTTTCTCTTTTAGGTTTTTTTGGGTGACTAACCTCGAATCGATAAAACGGCGCGCACTCCGCTCACCTTATTTTGCCCAGAGAGATTAATAATGTATCTTTAATAAACAAGTCATATTTCAATGCGACATGAATACTACCAAAACAATTTAGTTTTTTAGTTTATTATTAATTTGCAATACAATCATTCAAAGAATATATTTCATATTCTATTTAATTTTAGGCGCAAATTTAATTCAGGCTGATAAATACATTTTATACGCATTTAATAAACAATTAGTCATAACATTCAATTTATATTCTATATATAGGGCTTAAAAATCCACGGGTATAAAGTTTACTAGCAATATCTCAAAAACAAGTAAAGTTAGGAGTTTTAAGAACATTTTTTGAAAGTAGAGGATAAAATACCACCAATACCACAGTTCGAAATTTTCTGGTTGTGAGCACTTTCGTTTAGTTTACGAGACCTAAATATAATTTTTGAATATATGTTATTTAATTGTTTTATAAAATGAATTGTTATTTTCAAATTATGTTAAACAGATGCCAAATAAAGAAGGACCATCTAGCAAATTAGTAAAAGATAAAAAAAAATAGTTAATATAAAAGTAAATTTAGATTTAGATCAATATTATATACGGTATAATTTCTATACCTTACAGCTATTATTTCGTAAACCTTTTTTTAAATAAAAAATAAGGCATATGTTTTACTGATGGCTGTCCTTTTTTACTCAATCTACGGGGTAAATAGAGACAGATGACTAACTCTAGAAAAATGGTAAGAACACATTTCGGTTACCCACAGACGTGGGTGGGGTGAAAATAGCAACTGAAACTATACCCAGGCTAATGTGCAAACAATGAAAAAGAAAAAACTAGTTGCTAGTGGTATTTAGCCTTGAGGCAAGTTACATGAACTTTCCGATATGTGTAAATAATCGACTTAATCAATAATAAACAAATTAATTTATGAATGATTAGAAGTATTCCGAGAGGATTTATTACACATAATTGAAAACGAACGAACACGTTAACTCGGAGTATTTTCTAGAAGCAAATTTTCACAAAGCAATAAATTTTATAATAGAACCAGTTTTTGTAGGACGTTAATGGTTTAGTATATTCATTAAGACCAAGTAATCTATTGTTATACCAAGTAAATAATCTAATTTTAATTTTAACAAACGTCAAAAAAACTACTCATTTTCTCAAACTTTGATGAACTTTTAAAATTGAAATACTAGTCGTAAGGCCGTAATATTTCAGTAAATTCTATAAGACCATGATATATATCGCCAAAAAAAGTTTCATAAAAATCGACTCAATTTTTTTTCAACAGTTAACTACAAAAAACGGTAGATTTTCACCTAAAACTAATCAGTATCATTCCCAACTAATATATTTCTAACAGTTTTTGATTTTTCAGAATCAAATCGATAGTTTAAGTTTAAATGTGGGCGAAAAGTCTAACACTTTTTTTCAAATTACAAAGAAATGGCTTGGCAGATCGTCTCACAGAACTGACAAATTATAGTCCTCATTGAGATACATCAAATGGCTTTTAAATTTATGAAACTTTGAGAAAACGTCGATCAAAGGTTTAATTTTGACAAATGCCAAAAAAGCGGTACTAATTTTCACGAATTTAAAGAATTTTCAAAATTAAACGGCTTGTCGTAGGTTCGTAATATTTTAGTATGATCTAGAGGACTACGGTATCTACCGCCAAAAAAAAATCAAAAATCGTCGAAATTTTTTTCTAAAAACTTTATTACAAGAAAACGGCCCGGCCGATCTTTACCAAAAACTAATCAGCACGATTCCCAATCAATATCTATCGAATGATTTTTAAATTTTCAATATCGATTTAGAATTGCGGGCTAAAACGTGGACGAAAAATGTTTCACTTTTCTGCAATTTACAAAGAAGCGGTCCGGCCGATCGTCGCACAAAACTCAGAAACGCTAGCCCTCATCGAGATACATCGATCGGCATTTAAAGTTTTGAAATAGGTCCATCCGTTTTGGAGAAACCGTCGATTTACGGCAAAAATCTGTTCACACACACACACATACTTTTTCCAAATTTGGTCTCATTCGATTCAGAATGGCTTGAAACGTCGAGAAAACATAAGATTGGCGAGTCGGATTTTTTGATGAAAACATAAACTTCTTCGGGAAATTAATAAAAAAGTATATTGGCTTAAAAAACAATTTTACAAGAGATAGTTTAATAAATAGTTCTAACTTATTCCGACTATGGTGATGATTATTTCTGAGTAAATACCGTAAAAATGTACCTATTTATATTTTGTGGAATTTTTATTTTGAATTAGTTAAATAATGCAGATAATATTTCGTAAAAGACCTATGAAAAATAAGACATTGGAACTGTTTACCCCTGGCTGACCGATTTTATCCCGCCTATGGGGTAAAAACGACATTTTTTTTAAAAAAAAAAACAGCTGTAAAATACAACTCTACAATGATGGAAGTTCTACAATTAGCTGGGTGTTTGAACTGAACATAGTACGATAATTGTTTGATGAGTGTTACTTGTTGTGATGTAGTTGTTTTGATTTTTGTAATATAATTGCTAAAAGTTAAATTACTAGAATGGTGGATGATGCTAATAATACGGTATTCATATTCATTGAAAATAATATAATTCATAAATTGCAAATCCATAAATTAAATCTTCTCTTACCTGGGTACAGTAACAAAAAGTTTATCTCTCCACCTGTCCAATCCTAGTGGTAAATTGTGAATTTGTAGAAATTTGCCACTTTTGATAGCTGCTTCTTTTGCTTCTGCACTTGGCCAAACGTAATCAATTTGTTTCCATGCTAGAACTTCTTCTAAGCGAGCTGCACTGGTAACCGACACCAGCGCAAAAGCCAGTAAGAGAAAAACTTTCATAGTTTCTGGAAAAATAAAATGTAGGTTATTAAATACAAAGGTAACTAACTGAAAGTGAATTTGGCATGAACTTCTCGAAATGTGGTATAACTTCTAAAATTGAGATTTAGATATTTAGATAAATTTTTCAACTGTTTATTTCGGAAATAAAGTTTTCGCCTTCCATTTAGTGAAGAAATATTTCCAATTAGTTTATTATTCCAAATTTTAATTAATTGATCATGTGACTTATTACATCACAAAAGCAACTTTTGACACAAATTTTGACTAATAATATTTCGTAAAATTTTGATGAATTTTTAAAATTGAAATATTTACCAAAAAGCCGCAAATTTTAAATGTTTTTCAGGACCATGATTAAGTATCAAAATAAAAAGTTTTATCGAAACATGTTTTTCAACAGTTAATTACAAAAAAATGGCTCGGCCGATCTTTGTCCAAAATTATTCTGCACGACTCCCAAATAATATCTTTCGAACAGTTTTTGAATTTTTAAAATCGAATCAGAATTGCGGGCTAAAACGTAGACGAAAATTTCTACACTTTTCTGCTATTTGCATGAGTAACATCGAATGGCACAGCCGTTTTTGTGAAAAGTCAACATAAGGTAAAAAGTTTGTTGATACACACACACACCACACACGCTTTTTCCAAATTTGGTCTCATTCGATTCAGAATGGATTGAAACGTCAAGAAAAGGTAATCGATTTTTTTTTCCTGAAAACAAACTTCTTTGGGAATTTAATATAATCATACATATGAACTAACTAACATATGAATACAAGAGAAAAAAGAATTTGAATATAATTTTTTTTTTAATTTCAAAAATAAAAATCTGATATTTTATCAAAACTAGTTCATTTCATGTATGTACACTACATATTATTTATTGAGTTTTTCATCTAATCTAAATATCTCATTATCGATTTATGCTGCATAGTTAGTATTTCATATTTATAGACATAGAAGACATAGAATACCTAATTTGTCTTCGGATGAGAAAATGAAAGCCTTTCTTTAGTACCGGTTATTATCGATAATTAAATGTAATTGTTTGTGAAACAATCACCTATTTTTAATATACTGCACTGGTAACCTTGTAAGTATAAAAATATAGAGAAGAATGTGTGCTAGGGTTCGTAGTGGCAGCCGTCACAGCATTATTAACACTAAACTATTCTGATTTTGAGATAGGGGTAAAAGGGAGAAAGATAAAATAAGTTTGCTCGAACAAGTTTCTATTATTGCATTGAGTTACTACCCTGCATTAACGTGATCTGTAGACCGCATTGTTTTTAAAATGTCAAAAGTAACTTTTTTGATCGTTGACTTTCAATAATAACTATTACTTAAGTAGATAGATCACTTTGTTTCGTATTTTGCTATAAGTTGAATTTTGGTGTGAAGTTACCAGCAATTCTATTTGCATGGCTTAATCACAACGTTGATTTGTCTCGAAAAGTGTGCGTGGGGTACGGTTGTGACAAATTTACTGGGCATGGTTGTAACATGTACTTCCTGTCCTTTGCGGAGTGAAGATTAATTTATTAACTTATTTTAAATCATTATGTTGTGTTGTGTTAAATATTTCGGACAATAAAAGTCGTTATAAACCATGTCAGTTATTATATCTTTTTTTTAACCTATGGTTGTAACACCGGCCTTTTCTTGCAATATTGCTTTTATGATTAATACTTCGTATTTAATGAGAGCATTTCAGTATTTTTACATAGACAAATGTTTAAATTATCATTTAATTTACTTTTCTCCCGTCTCATTAGTAAATTAATAAAATAATTTCTGATTAAAAATGACACACCCGTACCTAGTCTCACTCGCTACTCCATTTCTAACAATAACGCAAATGATTTTTTTCCTTTATACTGAATAAAGTCTTATTAAGCATTAATTTTAGTTTAGACAAGTTCCACCTTTCATAGACATGTTTTATATGTTTCTATCAACTTATCACAGAATTATAATCAATAAAAGCATTTATTTTAAAAATTGCTAGTTATTTTTTCAATCATCAGGGAAAAAATTGAGAAAAGGACTGTAGCTACCTCAGTCAATAGGCTACTGTTTGTTACTTATAAAATATTTCAGTGGACTATTTAGAACAAACTATACCAAAACATCATTATTTTTCTTCAAAAAATACAATTTGAAAACAGAAAATAATTTGTAAAAACAATTACTTTTTATTGAGAACATGTTTGTTATAGATATTCATCATTTTCTATTAATACCGATATGTCAACAATAAATCATTGTTCTATATCACAAATAATACTGAGAATTCAATGGGAAATTTTGTTCAATACATAGTTTTGTATAAATGACAAACAATCTGTATTTCAAAATATAAATGCCTTTGTCTAAGACGCTAATTTGAAAACAAATAATTTTACAGTTCATAAACTATTGTTATTTGTTGCTTGTTATATGATCGTTAATAGCATGCAATTTTGAATTATTTTATAAATGAAATAAACTACTGATGTTTTAAAATATCTTCGGTATTTATTATTTGTTAAATCATAAAATAATGTAAATTTAAAAACCGTGTAATTTAAATAAAATTAACATTACATGTAAATAAATAATACTATAGTAGAACACTTTATATTTAGAAAACTTGAGTTTTTAATTTTATAAAACTAATACAATAAATATATTTGGGAAACTTAAAATGCAAACGCGAGTTGGTTAAACTATTTTTACATAGAATTCATGTAAAGTTTAAAAAAATATCAATTGGCATCAAAAATATGCTTTTTCAAAATTATGTTAATGATTCAAGTGAAAAAAATTAAATTATTATAATCAAAAATTATGTAAAAAGAGATAATCAGAAATTTTATAAAGAAATTAACTTGAAAAATAATAATATTGATGCTCAATTTATAAACTGAAATTCCTGAAATATCTTTCGAATGTATACAAACGAGATAAAAATACAAAGGCTCTAATTTGTTGTCATTTGTTGTTGTAAAATTATGTAAATATGTAATTCTAATGTAATAAAATTTATAGAAAAAAAAAAAATTAATCAAATTTTTAATTAAAAGCTCACAATAATCAGAATTATACTAGACTGTAATTTGTGTACACAAAATATTTTGTAATAGATTGCTAAAATCACTTTCAATTCTATAGAATTGTAAACATATTCAAATTTCTGTAAATAGTTTCTTAAAACACAATTTGCCGAATTATTTGACATGTCAATACACGTGGTCGGATTCATATTGGATTCCTCGTCGTGAACAAATATTTTAATAAAATACATTCCATTAGGAATATTATGAAATAGCTCTATACCATTAAAGAATATTTGCTAAAGAATTTCTATATTGAAAATATTTTGAGCTTGATGATGTGTAAAATCCATATCAGCAAAAAATATTATTTCTTGTTTATAGAGTAGGTAATCGAAATCTAATTTAATCAAATAATGTTACTAATTATATAATTACAAAAATCTTGATACTATATGTTAAAAAACATATTTAATAGAGCTCCGATAAAACGTAATAATCAAGTATCATAATTGATTTTTATAAAATTTATAGTGTTCTTAATAGAAATATAAACAAAATAGCTTTTAGCCTATTATATTAGATATGAATTAATAATATATATTAGCTATGAAATTCTTATAATTTTTAACTATAATGTAATAATTTTTTAAAAATTAAAATGATTAAAATAGAAAAATTATTAAAAAGTATATTAGCACAGAAAAAAACACATAATCTCAAAATTATTTTTACACATAGTGCCATTGTGAAAATTTAAAATTTTCATACGGGTTTTTTAAAAAAGCATTTATAATATATACTAATGGTGCATGGCATCGTGCCTTAAAGCAAATTACTGGAATTTGCCGTACCGAAAACTGAATTATTAAAAAAAAATTTGCAAAATTTGAAAAAAATTGACTTATTTGAAAAATTAGATTTTTTTTACATATTGACTTATTTTTGTATTTTGATTTATTTTGAAAATTTTTAACATCACGCTGCATAGCGAATTTAGAATCTAAATATAAAAGCGTGTGAGCGCCGCGTAGTCGTCTAACGTGTAATTATTGGTACAGAAACCATATAAATGTACACAAAATTTGTACTTATTATCATAATTTTTATTACATATTACTAATTTTGATTGCTGTTTATTAAATAATAAAAAAAAACATATGTCTAATGTTCATTTTTGACCGCCCAAGGGCATTATTTTTTACATTTTTATTGAATCTCCGGAGACGCTGGACTTGCCTTTACAAAAATTATACCTGTTTATTTTGTCAAAACAAGTAAAATGTTTTTGAATTATTTTAATCGAACGCAATTTTTTTTTTAATTTCCAAAAAATATTTTATTCCGAGAATAATTCGGATTTTGATTCTAATTTTGCTAAAGTTCTACAGCTCACTAATATACTTCAAATGAATAATTTAAACTTTGCTATTCAGTTTATATAATTCTTATAAATATTAGACAATGTCCTTCATTTCAAATTCGGTGGATTAAGTTTTGTTTATTCACTTTTCCGCAAACATATATAAGTTACAGTATTTATAATAATCTATTTGAAAGCATTCAGTATTCATCGAACATTTCGTTACGGTACGGGAAGTTCCAGCAATTTGCCTTAAGGACGATGTCATACACCACTAATTTCATTTGGTTTGGTAATTTCACCATAAACATTATGTGCAAAAATGAACCTTAATATTGAATACATCAAGTAGAAAAACCTTTGTGTAAAAAAACATATTTAGTCGATATCTTTTCAATTTATAGGTATGATAATAAGATACAATGACGATTCCCAAAAAAAAATTTTTGGTTTTATACATTCAATCCCACACACACAAGTATATGAATAGGGTAAAGTCGCTCAAGTCGTACTCTCTCAGAAATAATGCTAAAATATGTAGTGTATTTAAATTAAAAGAATATCTTTGACATTAACTCAATTTTTATTTAGTTGAATAATG